AATCCCTTTAATAACGTGGATGATTATGTGATCTATTATGAGAAACAAAGGGGTCAAGATAGACCTACCCCATTCTACAGACAAGTTTGCTCTCACGTCTCCCACCCAGCAAGTGGTTCAACAGGCTAAGGCACGTATGAAGAAAACACATCAACAAGGTAAAGGGGTCACAAGGAAAACAAAGAAGAAAAACACGAAAACCAAACAGAAGAAAAACACGAAAACCAAACAGAAGAAGATGAGGAGAGGAAAAACAAATAATAATAATAATAGAAGTCCAGATAACCTGGACAAACTGACGAAAAGAAGAAAATAAACTCATCCATATATAAGTGGTACTCTAACACAAAATCTGCCAGTCTAGCAGAAGCTGTTGTACAGTGCACACGCTTTCCTACCAGGCTCCATTTTGTGATCATCATCATGTCTTGCGATAATCTATCAGCCCCTTTCAAATCGAGCTCTATCAGTGAGCTGGATGTGTTTACCCGACCTTCATTCATGACTGGGATAGATAAAATGTACTTTTTGGAAATGAGACCGACTTCTCAAATCACCACCGATAGCAGCCCTGTTGAATTCAACATTAGTGGTCAGAATATGGATTATACAGACTTGAAACGAACCACCCTGCATGTCACAGCGAAAATAATGCACACAGATGGCACATCTCTGGTACAGAAGGAACATGTTGCTCCAGCGAACCTATGGCTACAATCCTTGTGGTCTCAAGTAGACATCACCCTAAATGGAAAACTGGTGACCTCAGCCACCCATCTCTATCCATATAAAAGCTATTTGAAACTTCTTATGAGAACAGGGACCACAGGGGAAGAAGCTTATTGTACCAGTCAACTTTTCTACAGGGACGTTGAGGATGTCAACAGTACTGATTCATATACTGGGACCAATGGAGGACTGCTTTCAAGAGGTTCTCATACAGAGCTCAGCAAGTCAGTTGACATGTGTGGACCTCTCTACGAAGATGTCATGGAATGTGACAAGTTTCTCATCAATGGAGTCAATATGCAAATTAAACTCTATCCTAGTAAACCTGAGTTTAATATCATCAGTGGTGTGAGCAATAAGAAATTCAAGATTATACTGGAAGATGTCTATCTCCGACTTTGTAAGATACGACCCACCGCTTCTATCATCACAGGACATGCTCACATCTTGGCAACAGAAAATGCAGTGTACCCCTACATCAAAACAGATCTCCGAGTAGCCTCCATCCCTCAAGGACAACTCAGTTTTACTTGGGACCAAATATTTCAGAACTGTTGTCCAAACAAAGTGGTGATATGTCTCCTATCCTCAAAAGCACTGAATGGTGACTATGAGCAGAACCCCTTCTTCTTTCAACTTTTGATCTAACCACTGTAGGACTGTATGTCAATGGAGAATCTCTTCCAGCACAACCTCTTAAAATCACAGATGGACACATTGTACCGGCCTTCCAAGGTCTCTTTGACCCCAGACACCCTTCTTCAACCCCAAACATGACGAGAGATATGTTCAATAAAGGGTATGCCCTGTTCCAGTTCACCCTGGAACCCTACTATGGACGAGAATTTCTGGATCAGATAAAACGTGGGAACATATGTCTACAAATTCAGTTCAGTAAACCCCTTCCTGAAACAGTGAGCTGTCTCGTGTATGCTGAAGAACCACAACTGTTGAAGGTGGATCAGGCCCGCAACATTCTGATAGAATCATCATCATGAATATCCACACTAAATGTAGAGAATATATATAGCTGTATGTCCATCACTATATGTTTCCCCTTAAGGGATCTCGATGTAACCTGTTACCTGTCCAGTTATTAGCCTAGTGATATTGTACTTTAAAATAAACATAAAAACACTGAAATTGCGCTAGCCCACAGAAGTCCCCTATCGGAGAAGGACGGTTGGGAGGTATGGCACTGTGTTCTGTTATGAAAACAACAAGATATACAATTTCATTTGTTTAATAGCTCCGTTCATATGAGTAGAACTATAGGTTAGGAGCAAACCATAGTCCACTTTACAAACACACATACATAAATTCATAAAGAAATCCATTTAAATGTCTGTTTAGGCTTCTTGTTTTTCCTCTGTTGAACTGGTATTCCCGGAGGTTTAGACCTCAGTGTCATTTCTGGTGTTTTGGAATTCATGTCCACTTCCAGCCGTTGTCTGTTGCCAATTAGTCCTTGAGGCACATTGATGTCTTTTAAGGCCTGATAGAATTCAGTCAGTCCCTTGGGTTGAAAACGTTTATACAGATACTGGGAGTCCTTGAGTAAGTCTGCAATATGACTCCCTTGAATGACTTGACCCTGGTAGATGAGTACACCTTTCCGATTCCAAGACAGTCTTTGGTCGGGATCATTTTGTATGTGTCTCAATAAAGCAGCACCTCTCTGTCTGTAAGGTTTAGGGAGCACGCTCAGAATCAAGTCTGCATCCATGGGTTCTGATTCATCATCAATGGTGGTAGGATGATTCTCACCTGATGACGTATCCATGTTCCCACCACTTATTGGATTCACATGATATTTCAAGAGCCGTTTATATCTATCCATAGGAACGAGCACCTGTTTTTGGATATGCTCCATTACAATGCCTTCAATAAAGGCCCAACAACCTTCAACACTAAACTAATAATAGCCACACTCTTTGACAGTAATTGTTTTTTCTGTACTTTAGATCCTGTTTTATTACCAAGAAAACGTAACACTTTTCTGTGTTTTCTCAGTGCGTTCAAATTATGCTTTGACAGAGGTACATCTGAATGTAACAGATTATAAATAATCTCTGTCAAGGCTGTTAATTGTTCATCAGTCAAACTTTGCAACAACAACTTCTTTTGAACAGTGGATGTACTCTCTTGCAAAAAAACGTAAGAAATATCCGTTCTGTGCGAGTGTCTTTGACATAATGGCGTTTCAATTAATCTTCACCACTATTTATAGGTACAACAGTCTTGCTCACAGGCGACTCGCTGAATGAACATAGGAATCAAAGTCACTGCTATTTATAATCTTGGCACATACACAACGGGATCTTCCCCCTGGAAAAATTCGGGTTTTGAGTCTCAGTTTATCTTCTGCACGTGGAGACATATCCAACACCAAATAGCCATAAGGCTGCTTCATAGCATCTGTGTATGCTTCCACGAGAACCCCTGCACGTCCAGGAAATAACTGTTTTCCAAGGGTCATCATCTGTGAGATATCGCGCACATTCTTGAACAACACCAAGTACCACGTGTTCAGGGCTATAGTTCGTGCTGACTTGCCTTGACCATACAAGTTCTGAGTAATAAATATAACACTAAGGCATCTATGATGACAACCTTGTGTAAATAACAGTTCCATGTCTTTAGAACTTAACACTTGATGTAAAAGATCGTCCAGGATAATGAGTCCATGTTGACCATCAGAGGAAAACTGTTCAATGTCTGAGTCTGTGGGTAATCCCTGTTGAAACACGAGGTTTGGCACTGTTCTTTCCATGTCGTCAAACAGGGATTGGTAGACACCATAACAGTACAAGATTTTCTTGGGTGGGTCCTTCACATACATACCCTTGATGTTCTTTACAAATTTATACACCCAATGAGTCTTTCCTGCCCCTGTTGGTCCAGATACGCAAATACTGGAGCAGGGTTCGAAGGGTGTTAAACTTTGTGTTTCCCACCAAGGTTTAGTCGGATCAACCACACTTTCTGGACTCCATGTAATAGCTGACTTGGGTGTAGTGGTTTGAACTTCAGTCATGTGCTCTTTCTTCTTCTTTAGCCAGTGCCTCTTCCCTGGGGTATCTAATTTGTGAACTTTGGATAGATGTAAGGGAAGTCTTAGTAAATGTCGAGCAGAACAACCAGGTACGGGACAGTCTTTCCTTAACCTACCCATCTTACTGAATGCATTCCATGTATGAAACTAATCCTATTTATAGTATGGCTCCCTATGGCTCCCTATGGCTGCCTGTGGATGCCTATGTGGCTGCCTGTGGCTCCCTACGTGGCTGCCTATGTGGCTGCCTGTGGCTCCCTATGGCTCCCAAATGGCTGCCTGTGGCTGCCAAATGGCTCCCTATGGCTGCCAAGTGGCTGCCTATGGCTCCCTATGTGGCTGCCTGTGGCTGCCAAATGGCTCCCTATGGCTCCCAAGTGGCTGCCTATGGCTCCCTATGTGGCTGCCAAGTGGCTCCCTACGTGGCTGCCTGTGGCTCCCAAATGGCTGCCTGTGGCTGCCAAATGGCTCCCTATGGCTGCCTGTGGCTCCCTATGTGGCTGCCTGTGGCTGCCTATGTGGCTGCCTGTGGGTCTCTATGTGGCTCCCTGTGTGACTAGATATACATGGCCTTTATGCGGCCATGACTAAACAGGAATGAGCTACTCAGCTGATCTCAAAACCCATAAGGTACAGTATCTAAATTAGGCTGAATGACCCGTTTTGTGTATACCATTCTATACGTTTTGGTTTCTTTTCTGTTGTATATCTTTGCCGAATATTTGTCTCTGGTAATTTTCGAAGAGTTGGTAATGTCCACAGATTGATTTCTGTTGTGAGAAAGCACCATGGCTTTGACAGAATCAAAGTTGATTAATTGTGAGTTGGTATAATTGAGTGTAAACCCTCTGACTTTGCAACATTCTTTGCCAGATTGTGTTTTGTAGGCATAATTTTTGGGTCCCCCTGAACAAAACATCACAATGGGGTCTCCTTCCAATTCATCGGTGAGTTTCCCAAATAATCCCCAAGGGTGGATTGACATCACCAGGCCTAGAGACAAAGAGGACAGAGTCAGTGTCATAATACAAGACACGTTCTTGTAGCATGTCCAACACACTGTACAGTTTTAGTCTTGCATAACAGGTGGTAAAAGTGGCAATGAAGATGTTAGTAGTCTCACTCTGAGGGATAAATTCAGTGTCATGGGTCCACTGAAATTGGGCTACATTGTCATTGAGAATATGAAAATCGTGTAGGGTCTTTTTGGGATCTGTCAAAATTGATAAAATTCCTCCAGTTTAGATGCAAATACAAATTTTGTCTGTCTCATATTGGGTCTTTGAGCATATTTACCCCAGAATGAATTCAACATTAGTTTTGACAAGGCTCTCAAACCAGGATTTTTCTCAATGTTGTCATAGTCTAACTGAATGCCTTCATTCTCCAAATATTTGTGAATGTATTGTTGTTTATCTGCTTCTGACTGACACCATGCAGGCCAACCTGAAGATTCTTGCTTGATTTTCAGGAAGGTGTTGATGTAACTGGCAAACAAACCACCCGATTGGGTCGTTTTGTCATACTGGGTGGTTTCTGCCCAGTGATAAACTTCATACACCTTTTGAAGTTCATAGCCTTTCTCCAGAGCTTTGATTAACTCTGGAATGCACCATGTTCCAATGAAACCACGTTCTACATCCGTGTGCTGACATGGTGTTTGTTGCTCTGAATTAGCACAAGTTTGACACAATGCAAATTTGAGTTTCCCATTCGATCTAAAGGGCAAGACGGGATGATACAGTCCACGTGGGGGTAAGATCTTGACTTTGGCAATGCCAAAGTACTGCTCTAGAGATTTGAAATCTCTGGTAATGATTTGAGGGTGCCCAACGGGATACTGACCATACTTGTTGACCCATGGGTACAAGGATGTAAAATCCATGTACAAAATGTCTTCCTTCTCTTCAGTTTCATAAAACAACTTGGAAGCATTAGTCCGACCACCGAAAAATGAATCTCTGGGATCTAATCGTTCCTGGAGATCTATGGTGGCCACATAGGTTTTCAATTCAGGTTTGGTTTTCAGTTGTTGCCTGAACTCATGTTCCCAGAGGGTCACTAACTCGTAACCCTTCTGCCTGATGGTTGCATTTCTCTTCATGGTCAAAGCATACAACTCACTGACAGACTGCTTGGTGTGAGGCAGTACTGTTTTGTCCCGGTCATGAGGATAGCATGTAGGACAACCATGATAGAGACACCCGTCAAACTGGTAGATAATGTTGCTGTCACGACAGTACCCATCCACCTTATACTTGGTCCCTGGGATCTGATATTCACCTTCATTCAACGCATGTTGAATGTGTTTGTGTTGGGAGTGAATCAGCCATTCCAGCCATTGTATGGAGATCAGACTGTATTGATCTTTGGTGTATCCATCTCCAGGGACCTTTGCAATGGGACTGGGAAGGGTCTCTTTTTCATGAACCACACCCCCTGCTTCTTGTACTGCTTGAAGGGTTAGCCAGGACCCGGGTTTGACTTCCACCCAGTGTTGATTTTTATGCTCTTTGATGGGAAGCCATGGAGTGACTGTCCCTTGCCAAAGAAGTTTGACATGAGTGTATGCTGTCAAGAACTTGTGCTTGAACACCCCATGACACACACTGGCAATGGTAATGTAATCTGTCGGATCGATGCCAGGTTCTTTCTTTTGAGCGATTTGCAGTGTTTTAGGGTCCTTGACAAGATATGTCTTTGTTGTAACAGACAATAATAATTGTCGGAAAGTCATGAGAGCTTCCCTCAAGATTTGAACGTCTGACCGACAATACTCCTCCATTTCTTGAGCAAAGTCAAAGATGTTGTCCTTTTGTTTGGCATACCAAGTTAGGAAGTGACTTCTGTCTTGTGTAGACATGTTGTTGATCCCATAGAATGAAGCATCAGGATAAGGCCCAACATACTGTTGGTTGACAGAGGTGTTGAAGTAATGGGGGAAATAGCCTTTCTTCAACTCTTCCAGATGAAACATCTTGGGAAGATTGGCCAGTTTAGTGTTGAAGAAAGACAAACTGTCCAACAGTCGAATGTTCAAACCCCGGGGAATATGCATATACATGAGTTTAGACCCATTGTACACCATGTTGTCAGGGAGGATACTATTCCCTATCAGATAATCCAACAGGAAATAGCCATCATAACCCTTGAAATTGTGGGCAAACACCGAAAAGCTTTTGTGAGCTTTTGTGAAAAGCCATTTACAGAATAATGTAGCTGTGTTCTTGCCTTTGAACTTGACCTCTCGATGACCACAAGTGTCTGGACATGGAGGCATCTTGAAACAATTGAATTTCTTATGCCATTTGTTGCATACATCGCAACGATCACCACAAGAAAAACATGTGGCTTTAGGTGAGAATGGGTGATGTCTACAAATGTCACAGACAGACTGAGCTATGACAAAGTTAGGTTTATGTTCCTGACGCCCACACCAAGATTGGTGACAGTTGTCACACATGGTATGATGCGTACAATCCTCTTCTTCAGGTCCACACTTGGAACAAGGGGAAGGTAGATAACCTTCTGCACAAGTAGACACTTCATCTTGGGAACATTCAAAGTCAAACATGATGAATTTCTTGACTTGGGGTTTGTCATCTACAGGTAATGGCTCGTGATAACAATTATGATCCATGGGCACCCTCTTACCACAAGGCTGGCACATGTAAGTGTCACAATCATGTTGACCATCTTTGTTTTGCCAAATATTCAGCACTTTATAACACTGAGGGCAACGCCAGTAGGTCTGACACTCTGAGGGGAGGTCCCCTTTCTTGGACTTTTTAGGCTCCTTATGAGCGATAAAACACGCTTCCGATCGGCACTGCATGTGACAATCAGGACAGATTCTTGCAGTGTCCTTGGTGTGACACGATTTCCTCTTACAGACCCTACAGTAATTGTCACATGTATGTTCATGTTTGTTTTGGAAGGGAGTGAGACAATGGTGACAAAAATAACTTTGGCTGAAAAAGCCAGAAATGTTGGGGATGGCATGAAAATGGTTATCCACTAAATACAGAAACAACTGCTTTCTGTCATCTTTCATCCCTTTGGTGATGAATTTATTTCCCAGTGATGCATTGATCACTAATATTTGACAACCCAAGACAGCTTCCAATTTGGGAATATCTGTCACACCCGCCATTCTATCCTTGGACACACCTGCTTTGTCACAGAGAAGATTGGCAAAGAGGGTCTGATGGTTGTTATGCTTTCGAAGATTGTCATACAGAGAGGGTGGACATTTCTTATGTTCTAAAGCGAGATGTGTCATATGAGTATTCTTTGACTGGGGAGATGTTAACAGAAACCGGCACTCACACTGATCTAAAGGATGAGAATTGATGAGATCCTGCCATTCAGCCTTAGATACTTGATGAGCTTTAGCAAAACACACAGAGAGAGCTCTTGCCATACATAGGTGATCTGCATTGTTGATTTGTACAATACTATGTTTGAGTTTAACACTTTCTTGAACATTTGTGATTTTATGAGATTTCATTCCTCCTTTAGGCATATCAATCATACCTATATCGATATCAAAGGAATCATCCAAAGCCAAATGATGGTGACTTTTTAATACATTTTCCACATGTCTCAGAATGACATCTGCATTCAAATTTTCCAATGGTCTCAGTGGGACCACAATTGGATTTTCTAACTTATCATGGTGTAATACAACACGTCCTAAATCAGAATCTTGTAACTGCCCCCTAGCTTGACTTAGCACATCATCAAACATGTTATGCAGCCGACCGTGAAGGTCAGCTAAATTTTGACCTCTCCATTCATCGTTAAATCTCACTTTATACACTTTTTCAACTGCTGCATGTTTAGCAAATGTACGCTGTTTCCTTAGACTAAACTCATAGGGACGACTCTCAGCTTCACCTAGTTCGACTTGATTAAACATGGTATCATCAAAGTCAAAATCTAAATAGTCCTCATAATTGATGTGTAAATCCTCTGTGAAAAGACTGTCCAGTCGAGGTTGTTTACTAGAAGGGCCAGGAAGGGGGGAATTTGAACGTTTTCTACTAGGGGAGTGAGTCTCTATATCTGTGACATCTGTATCAGGCATACTGGGACAATCCGCTTCCAAATTTAAATTTTGACACAATTCTTCAAATTGCAAAGTGAACAAACGCTGTTGAACGATGGGTAGGTGTTTTACATTATAGTAATTTGCAAACTGGAGCAACTCATCTACAGTTTTGATATGGGGGAGGCACTGGTTTAAGATTTCTTGTTCCATTCTGTGAAAAAAAAAAAAACACTTGATAATACAGTATGAAAAGTCTCACAAAAGAGACGGTGGTGGCCATGAGACATTTACATCGTTCTCAGTTGCAACCAAACAAACTGTTATAAAACATATTCTAACGTCATTATTACCAGCATCTGACTGTAGACGCCTAAACACTTATCAAGCGCACGTACAAATCCCATGACGAGAACGCACGTTTCAAAGCTGACATGCCCTAGCTACTGTTGATTCTAACGAGCATATAACGTTTTGTTTGTATGTTTTAAAATACATCAAGTACTGTGTTATCATGATGCATTCATTAAATGCAAAATCATACTATTTTTAATTTGAGAATAGGGAGTAATTCACAATTCCATCATATCAGGTTGTTGACACTCGCGAAAAACACACTCTATCACGCGCGAGAAATGTTGCCCGGCTAACAGTCGACAAACGCTTTCCCCTGCCCCCCGCCACAGTATAGTGCCACACACGTAATGTGGGTCAACAGTGTTTTAACGGCTGGGAGCAGGAAGCGGGAGACCGCCACTAGCTTTGCTCCAAGGCGATGCTAAAGGTTAAACCCGCTGCTGTATAGTAATTCTATCCTTTAAATCAACTAGTCAAGATAAACGCAGACAGTCTACCCAGTATATTACAGGAATATATTTCTATTTTATTTAATAGAAATTATCGTTTAAAGGATTCGTTATTAGCTTAGAGACTTGTGCAAGTCTACCCTAAACAGACTGAAATTCCATTTGCATGGGTAGTGTCAGGCACGTGTGGGGAAAAGCTATGTTTTGTGACATTGAACTCGTATACGAACTGATGGTTGATTTCAAACAATCACAAACATATGGGATTTTTCACTACCATCGGATATCATTATGTGTTTTATTCATGGACTATGAAAGGTATGTTAGCACGATTATTTGTTCCACCAAAAACGTTTAGATTGGATGACACATGAAAACTTTATTGTACATATGATGCATCCACAATACGTATAATATATGATTACACCGAGGCATACTCAAGGGATCCTACTGTGAGCGAGAACCTAAGATATGGTTTTATCTCCACGCTTTAACCAAGGTTTACTGTGTTTAACCATCTAGTGTAGATATAGAGTATATAAACATACCTTTTCGTTTGTTGAACTTGTTGAAGACACTCAAGAGCTCAAATGGTTTCGTTGGTCGTGAAGTCACCTCAAAGTGCAGTCGGCAAGTGATGAATGATGTTGAATTAAGGGTTTTTTATAGTTAAAACTGAAACCGGATGAAACTAGTTTGTGGTCAGTGGTCAAGTGAGTTCCGTTGGTGCTATGCGCTGATTGGTGCAAATTAATGGCATGATGTCATGGTGTGATGCTATGATCGATGTGTTTCCCACGGGAGCGCGCGGTCATTGACTCCTCGGTCAGGGTGAGTCACACCGGAATGAGTTGGCAGTATGCTGATTGGTCCAAAATAGTGGCGTGATGTTATGGTGTGATGCTGTGATGTGTTTCCCACGGGGGCGCGCGGTCATTGACCCCTCGGTCAGGGTGAGTCACACCGGAGTGAGTTGGCTGTATGCTGATTGGTCCAACATAATGGCGTGATGTCATGGTGTGATGTGACGCCGGATCCCACGGTCATTGACACCCCTGTGAAATGAGGTCAGCCAGGTGTTCGATGATGACGTCATTTTAGGACTATACCCCCCTGTCTACAACACCCTTACAGTATTCCATAGTAAACCCTTGCATATACGACCAGATTTTCCAGCTGCACTATAGCCTCTGATGGACGAGATATGACGTCAGATGTTTTACAATGTTAATTTCCATACGAGGGACGTGATAACTCGTCTACTCATTCTACACATATTTCACAGTTATGTTTCTTGCCGTGTATCCTCGTCCTTCGAGTGCAGTTCGTGTTCTTTGTGACAGTGTATTTTTTAGGATTTACTTGATTATCTCCCCTGGTCAAAACCGGTGCTATATGACGTTGACATTCGGTGAGCACATGGCGTTAAAATGTCGATCTGGTCGTCGAAAATTGTATCTGACCACACAAAATAGGAATATTCCAAGTAACAGATGTCCAGGAATTGGGCTTTGAGTTTAATTGTCAAAGCACTTAATGTTCTTTGACTGTTGACTGTCCTTACAGTTTGTTACGACGTACAGGTGACACATATAGGCCCCCACTGCGGGTCATAAAATCGATAAACTAGGCCCCGGTTTAGTATCCAAACACCCTACTAGAGCTGAAGGGTCGTTGTCGGCACGGGTACTACAGATATGTACCCCAACGTACCCTGGCCATAATGAGAATACAGAAACGTACCCTATAGGTCGATTCCATTCCCATTGTGTCGCATTTTTGATCGGAACTGTCATGCTGTTGTATTAGATACATTTGATTGCGTTATGTCAGTAATGAGAATACGTAACGGCTATTTCGCGATGCACATGAATACCACTCGGAATCAGTTGAATGGGAACAACTACATGCGGTTTCGGTTTGGGATGGCGGAATATGGACTCGTCCGCTTTTAGGGTACCGGGTACGTTTCTGTATTTTGACTTTGTTTAGGGTACATATCTGTATACAGAAACGTACCTGGGGTACGTATCTGTAGTACCTGTGCCGACAACGACCCCTTCAGCCCTACTATATACTTGTAATATATTAGGGGGTGTGGATACTAAACCGGGGCCTAGTTTATCGATTTTCTGTCCCGCAGTGGGGGCCTATGAGGTGACACTCGTCTCATATCGTTCTTTGGATTCTAAGTAACGACATAAATCTACTAAATTTTAGTTGTTCTCTCACCGCGGTGTAGTCACTGGGTTGAAAGAAATTATCACATTAACACAATGCTGTGTTAGTTCAATTTAGTTTCTCCTTTTAGGCCACCACCCCCAGATGCATTTCCAATGTGTCTGTGCTAAAGACGACATATATACTCTCCCAAAAAAAGAAACGCATATAGGAATTTCAACCGTATTTTTATGTTTATATTGA